TGCCGCGTGTAGCCGCGCGGCACAGGGTTCGAACGAGCGGGGATTTAAAAATGGCGGAGCCCCGCTTATGCAAATGAAGCCCGGGAAATTCAAATCCCGGGCTTCATTTGCAAGTGCGGTATGCCTACATTACCCCGCTAGTTCTAACTAGCGGGGTAGTGTAGACATACCGTGAGTCAGTTCAAATCATCCCTTTATATAAAATAAACAAAACAAAAACATTCTGTGTCTGCTGGGCCTCTTGAATCCAGCCTGAACCAATATATGTAGTTCCCCACTGGGGATGGTACTTCTCCAGGCTTGTTTCCCTGTCTAGGGATTTGCCTCTCTCCTACCCCCCAAAAAATTATTTGAGTTTCTGGAGGAAGCTTGGTAAACCTTCTCTGTTAAGGATGAATACAATCCCTAGTTCACAAGGACAGATACACATTGTTTATGATAGGATAGTCTGAATCATAGCATTGGAAGAGACCTCAGGAGGTCATCAAGTCCAGCCCCCTGCCCAAAGCAGGACCAATCCCAACTAAAGCATCCCAGCCATGGCTTTGTCAAGCCGAGACTTAAAAACATCTAGGGATAGAGATTCCATTCCAGTACTTCACCACCCTCCTAGGGTAAGTCTAAACTACATCCCTCTTTTGAAAGAGGGATGTAAATTAGGCAGATCGAAAGTACAAATGAAGCGGGACTTTAAATATCCCATGCTTCATTTGCATAATCGCATCACAGCAGTCTTTCAAAAAAGGGTATTTTGAAAGTGAAACCGCTGTCTAGATGTGGTTCTTTCAGAAAAAAACAACCTTTTTTCAAAAGATTCTGTACTCCTTAAAAAAAGGGATTTTTTTCCCACAAAGAACTACATCTGAATGGTGGTTTCACTTTTGAAATACCCTTTTTTTTAAACCGCTGTTTAGACATACCCCTACTGAAGTAGTTTTTCCTAATATTCAACCTAGACCTCCCCCACTGTACCTTGAAACCATTGCTCCTTGTTCTGCCATCCATCACAGAGGGTATGTCTAGACTGAGCGGCTCTTTTGAAAGACGCTTTTTCAAAAGAAACTTTCGACAAAGCGTCTTTCGAAAAAGAGCGTCTAGACTACAATATGCAGATTGGAAAATCAATCCGCTTTTTCGAAAAAAAAGCGTCCTGGCTGCTGGAAGCTATTTCGAAAGAAAAAGCCACCCGGAACCGCTTCTGCCAGGGCATGGTGGCAGCATTTCCTTCCGGGTGCTGCTGCCCGCCCTTTGCAGAGACGCGGCGTGGTTAAAGGGACGCCCCTGAACACCCGTTGCTCTGCTCCTGCAGCTGCCTTTGCTGTCCCTCTAGGAGGTAAGCAAGGCATTGCAGTGCTGGTTTGGAATGCTCAGCTTCCTGGGACACCCCAGCAGGTTTTTTGTGTGGAGGTTTTTCTGTTTTAGACCCATTTTTTGGCATGGAGCCAGAGCTGCCCCTGGGCAGGCGATGGCCCCACACCATCATACTGCAAGTGTTGCTGCATCTGCATGACACAGTCATGAGGCTACTTCCCCATCTGGACCCAGACAAGAAGTACAAAGGGTTTGCCCGTCAAGCAGCCGCACTGCCCTTGCCTCCAAACTTCTTTGTGGACAGGCGTGCTTGGAGGCTTGACACCAGCTCTGACTGGTGGGACCGGCTCGTGATGGAGCTTTGGGATGACCAAGAGTGGCTACGCAACTTCCGGATGCGAAAGACCACTTTCCAGGAGCTGTGTACCTGGCTCGCCCCTGCTCTGCAACGGC